ATACCAAGTTACCTTTCAAAAACCAAGATACTGGATTATTCTCCTATTTTAAAACCTTCAATAATAATGATGATGGCTAGCATTGGTTAATTTAAGAGATAAGGTTAATATAACCTAGGAAATAAAGGAAATATATCGAATGCAAAGGACAGTCACAGTGTGCATACTAAAATGAACATATACACAATATAGACAAATGCCCTCTAAGTGGTAAAGGTGGATTCTTATATCAAGACTAACAGATTCAATAATCTCAAGAGACAATCATGTGCCAGGCCATCCACTGAGGTACATACTTTACATGGACTATCTCCATTAATCCTTCAAAAACCACATAATAATACTTTATTAATTCTATTTTACAGATGAGAACATTGAAGCTTGGTGATATCAAGTACCTTGTCCACAGTGAAAAGGTTATTAAGGTAACCTAGGATTCAAACCCAGGCAACTGGACTCCAAAGCCTCTTAATCATCCAGAGGCTATACTGCTTACTAGCTTAAGTTTCAGCTCAACTTAGTGTACAAAAAATGGTTTCCAACATCATCTCCTGCCACTCACAGTCAAGCAGTTACACACTACTGTCTCACATTTTCAAGTTTTTTTTTCAAACTCCACGTCTTTCTGCTGCTGTTTCCTCTATTCCAGTCCTACCTTCTATCTGGAAAAACTCTACTCATCCTTCAAGGCCCACCTCAAAACATAATCCTCTCATTGATGCTTTTTCTCCAAATAAGAGAGTTAACTCCTTCTTTACAGCTGCAACAGCACTTTGTACATACCTTGTTATATTATTTATTTGCAATAATGTCTCCCCCACTAGACTGCCAGCACTCCAAGAGAATCTTAACTTAATTATACTAATCCAATTCTGTATCTTCAATGCTTATTATGCTTTGGTACAAAGCAAGTACTCAATAAATGTTGCACAAATAAATGGTCCCAATCCTCTGCCTATTTAAATCCTACACTTCCTTCAAGGCCTCTTTCTTCCTTGTATAAACCCTTGTTAGACTGACCATTCCAGTCCAGAGACATCACTACCTCCTTTGAACTCAAGTCACTTATCTGGCAATTATTAATTGCACCCATCCTTATGACATATACAAATAACTTTTCATGAGTACTTATTTCTCCAAGGACCAAGACTATTCTTCATTTTTTATACTTCTGTTGTCTCCCTACAGTTTTTAGCATACAGCACGCATTTCATAAATATTTGCTATTTGATTACTTTGATGTCCAAAATAAATTTTACATAACATCCAAGAATGCCCAACTATCTTCAGCTAATTTTATCTGTGTATAAATAAACATTTTTATGATAAAATGAAGTCATATGATTGGTACTGAAACATACTCCATTTAATAAAACAAGATTCTTTTCATCAAACTTTTCCTTACAACTCTTGCTAATTCATTCAATAACTCTGGAACCTAAAGCTTTTGCCTTACTACTAAGCAGCTATATTTCTTCCTTGGCATTTTTCTTCTAAGATGACTTGTTACCACAACGTTCTCTCTCCTTCCCTTCCTCCCTCCCTCCCTCCATCTCTTTCTGTCTCTGTCTCTCTCATACACACACACTCACAGACACTATTTTCTCTGTTCCTTTGCTTTCTCTAGGACACATGGTACTGAAGATTTTAGAATGCTTAACAATTTAATGGGGGGTGGGAGGAAAAAGAAAAATCATTTTCAAGAGTTATCTTTTTAGATAGGTAAGTCCACAAAATACATTTAGTAAACAAAAATTAAAATTCAAGTTGCTTTAAAATATGATGAAATAGAACTAGCGAGAAATACTGAAGTAGCCATGTGACCCAAAGACCTATGTGGGTCATCTAGCAATCTGTAATGAAAATAAGCAATCCTAATAAAGCTATGTACTAGAAAATACTTGAGCCAAATGACCTCAGACTTAACACTCACACACACACACTTCAGCATTTTGGTTCAATCTGAAAGTCTGATAATTTAAGACATGAGGTTAATATAACCAAGGAAATAAAGAAAATATATTGAATACAAAGGAAAGTCACAGGGTGCATACTAAAATGAACATATACACAATATAGACAATGCCCTCTAAGTGATAAAGGTGGATTCTTATATCAAGACTAGCAGATCCAATAATCTCAAGAGACAACTGAGGTTTACAAATCTGGGACCTCATCTACACAGCAAAAAGTACATTTTTAAGATATCCGGAAATAAAAGGTAGGGTAGTATCTGGATAATTCAGGTTGAGTAAACTGGGCGGGGGCGGGGGGGGAGGGGGAGGAGAGCAATATGCATAAACTCAGGGTTTTATGTTGTAATTACCCATACCAATTTTGCTGATGTAGCAGTAAGGCACTCATGCAGATACAATTAGCCGTTTTTCCTAGTTTGTTTCCATTTTCTTATTGCCAACTTATCTTAGCTGAAGAATAGAAAAATGCTTAACAGAAAATGGTTAAGAGGGCATACTATCTCACCCAAACCACTGGGCTATAGCAACTTTCAAACAGAAGAATTTGACCTGAGCCAGCAGCAGCTGGAGTAGGCTCAGAAATGAAATTGCTGGGGAGCCTGGGTGGCTCTGCCTTCTGCTCAGGTCATGATCCTGGGGTCCTGGGATCAAGCCCAGCTTCGGGATTCCACGCTTGGCAGGGAATCTGCTCATCCTCTTCCTTCTGTCCCTACCCTCACCCCCAATGCTCTCTTGCTCTCTAATAAATAAAATTAAAAAAAAAATTAAATTGCTTTAACTAGCCAGGAAGCCTAATTGCCCATAATCAGCGATATGGAATCACCATTAATAATTTTAATAATTTCAGTGAAAAGCTATTTAAATTGATACATGAATCACCTACAGTATTCCAAGATCTCAAACTTCATATGAAGTGAACTTTAGGCACATGATATTAAATACAGAAAGATCTATAGCCCTTGCGAAACTGTCATGACCATAAAATATAGCCTTCCTGACTAAAAGTGTAAGAGTATAAAATTTAGAAACTATAAGGAAAAGGTTCAGGGAGTAGAAGACTACTTGTATTCAATGCCAACAATGGTCTCCATGATATTACTACTATGAAATGATACAGATGCAAAACTAGCACATACTAAACTTATAAGAAATCTGGATTTTAACAAACTGAACTAGCACTGTGGCCATATATGTTCTGACAAGGGTGTTCTCTATCATCAAATATAACATTATGGTACAATTATTGAAAGAAGGCAGGCAAGAAGCCTGAAGATGAAATCTCCAAAAGTGGATTTCTGTATGAAAGGTGAATTTCCCAGTAATTTCTGCGAAGGCCAGAGCGGAGACTCCATGAGCAGTGCAAACCAGTCTGTTGCCACCATCTCTAAACATGTGATCCATATCAGGCATTCCAGCTGCTAACAAATTCCATAAAGAAATGAAAGTTGTTTTGGTGAAGAATATGCTACTAAGCACATGAGATCTTATACCTATGAGCTCTATATAACTATAATTTTCTACACCAACAAGCTCCTTTCCTATTTAATCAAATGACTTTTATTCCAAATCAGTAACTTGCAAATGTGACCATCCTGGATTCACAACTCACCGCTAAGGAATATGCCTTTATGTTTGGAATCTTATTTTTACTGTTATTAAAGCAGTACAGTAGAGGAAAACATTATCATATGTATGACAAAAAAAAACAGTAAGATTCACAAGCATAAGGATAGCACAAACTCACTGCTCGGGAATGTGACTGGTTGTCCTAACTAATAGTACAGTGAAGAGTGCCCAGGGGAATGGACAAACAACACAGATACATAGTCAGAAAATGAAGCAGCAGCCCATGTCTCCGTTCCCAACCCCCACAAAACTCCAGGATTTCATGTTAGGACAACCAATCTGAACTACCAATCTTTTTTTTTTTCTTCTTCTCCTTTTATAAAGATTTCTCGGGACAAGAATGCCATAAACCCTTTATTCAGCTCATTCCAATGCCTGGCCCAACTGGATATACTACTAACTTTTTAAAAATTGTCTACACAAGCCTGGATATAAATCAGTGTTATTATTAAAGAAGGCTCAAATTGAAAAATTAAAATTAAAAAAAAACACAGAGGATAAAGGTTTTCTTGTTTTTAAATATTTTAATGGAAACATATCTGGTCAAATTTCAAAAACTGGACTACCAATGTTTAATAAACATTGTGCCAGTATATTTGAGAAGCTGAATGAAAATAAGTAAAAGAAGTATCTAGCCTTCCAAAATAAACGTAACACAACAAAGAAAACTTTATTCTAAAATGTTAATTTATGACCAAGCTACACAGTAAAGAAAAATCACTTCAGATTGTTTTTCACCTCCACAGCGGTGTTTGAAGTTGATGGGCTCTCCCAGAGAGCATGGAAATCTTAAGCAACAGTCAATTTGCCTCAATATCTCTATTTTAAATTAATCTGCTTATCTGTTGTCGGTAAACATACATAAATTCTGCCCCAGTTGAGAAATATTTAATTTTTTCTTCTATGGGTGTTTGTTCGCAAGGTGAGGGATAACCCCTTTTGGTCTTTATGTTGACCGGTTTTCTAAATAAATGCTTCTTCCTATCCACAAGACGCTTTCTTTCCTTTTATGCTGCCTTTTCTCCATCTATTCTGCACTTAAAGCCGGGGCCCCCAAATGCTGCTTCGTCTCTTCACCCTTGTCCAATCCCACACGGTTCCCCCAGTTTCCGCGTGGAGTGACACCTGAGGGCCAAGCGCGAACCCCTGCGGCTGGCGCTAACGAGGCGCGAATCGGGCTGACGGCTGTCACTGGGGAGCAGGCGTGGGCCAAAGCCGAGGTGATTTCTGACTGCTCATCGCCCGGCCCCGCGTGGCTGAAGGTCTCCAAGCCCCTCGGTCCGCCTAGGCAAGCCAGGCGTGCAGCTGTCGCGGGGCAGGAAGCTACTCGCGGCCTCTGGGACGCTTTGACAGGCCCAGAAGAAAAAGAAAAGGGCTCACTGCGGCTAGGAGACTCACCCCTACGGCTAGGAGACCTCAAGAGCGAAACGCCCGCCTCGGGCCTGAAGGCAGGCGAGAGACGGCGGAGCCGCCGCTACCGACTCAGCCCAGCCCAGCAGGGGCCCGCCCAGGGGCCACTCCCCAAGGGAGGCAGCCAGTCACTCGCCCGCCCTTCCGGGCCCGCTCCGGAGGGGACGGTCTCCCGCCCGCCCTCACACACAGCTCCTCAGGCCAGGCCCCCAGGGCTTCGTCCACCTCTCACCTTTGACGACGCGGTCAGCCCCGGGAGGGGGCGGCGGGGGCGGGGGTGGGGGCGGTGCAGCCCGGGCCGGCTCCGGGGCGGCCATGCTGGGCCCGGGGCTCGGCTAGGCGCTGGGCCGGGCGGGGCTGGGGGCGGGGGCGGCGGCTACCAGAGCCAAGCGGCGGCGCCGCCGGGGAACATGGCGGACCCTCTTTCCCTACAGAGGGGCTAAGACCGGCATGCACCGCGCTTTGCGGGGGTGGGGGCGGGGCAGACTCTAGGGACCTGGGCAAAATTACTGAGGCTGGGAGAGAAACAGGCCAAGGGATCAGGTTAAAATTCTGGGCCCGCAGAAACAATAGAGAGTGGAGAGGGAGGGCTATCTATTGCTAGTAGCGGCAGTGAATGAGTGCGAGGAAACATGACACTGGTTCTCATGGAGCTCCCGGTACGATGGGGAGACTTAAACCTCATAATATACTAATAGAGGGGCGCGTGGGTGGCTCAGTCGTTAAGCGTCTGCCTTCGGCTCAGGTCATGATTCCAGATCCTGGGATCAAGCCCCGCATCGGGCTCCCTGCTCGGCGAGAAGCCTCCTTCTCCCTCTCCCACTCCCACTGCTTGTATTCCCTCTTTCTCTGTGTCTCTCTCTGTCAAATAAATAAATAAAATCTTTAAAAATTAAAAAAAAGAATATACTAATAGAGAAAAAAATGTATAACAATTTGGCTACCAAATCTGGGTACTTTGGTAACGGCAGGAAAATAGACGAGGCATTGTAGGTTCTGGAGAGAAGTAACTGTTCAAAATGGAGTTTGAGAAGCTGGCCCTTATGTTTAGAGCCTGTAACTGTCAAGAGTCTGAAGGTACAGGGTTAAAACAGGTAGAGCAGAATAGGCTCCAAGGCTTAGGAATCAAAGCAGCTAAGGGGAAAGGAAGGGATGACACCAAGAGATGTTCAAAGTCTACAGAATTCACCTGAAAAAGACAAAGCCTCCCTCTCATCCATTCAGAAAGTAAGAGATTTAGAAGGCAGAGGAGTATATAGAGAATTGGAAATTGGAAATTAGTTTCTCATAAGAGATACTACATATAGTACTTCTGTGCACATACAGAATCTGAGCCCAAGTGACTTATGGAAACTTTATAGGGACGGACCTTCATGGGAAAGGGGATAGTGGCACAAGGACTGATTGTTCAATCAATAATTATTAGAAGGTGTGTGTATGACAGTAAGAGATATACTGAATCATGGACAGAGACCAGTGTATCCACTAAGTTCTATGTCTTGATGGCACAGGATCTAAGTGGGGGTAGAAATTCGGGCCCATCCTCCTGCCGAATACTCAATGTGCTCAGAATCTGTTCATAATGGATGATGTTAATTAGGTAAGCAGTGGTCCAAAGGTCTCAAAGAACACCTTTCTGACTCTTCTGTCAATCTCAATGATTTGAGACCTAGGGAAAAAGAGGAAATTGTCCAAAGGGTATTCTTTGCAAAGGGAGCCCACAAAACATCTTTTAGAGGGAGAATTTGGGAGTGAGGCAGAGGTGAAAATGGATCTTTCTGAGCAATAATTGTTCCACTTCACTGTCAACAACCATGTGCTTCAAAGATTTGAGGACCACCAGTGTAAGTGCAGAAATTCCACAAGGAAGGCAAGGGGAGGGGCAGCCATGGGAACAAGGAAGGGATAGGAGGCACATCACAAACTCGTAGACGGAGGGCACCAAGAGTACATAGATCAGGAGTGAGTTTCTAAGAGGGTCTGAATCACAAGAAAATCACCCTAAGGAGGAAAGGAGGAAGCATGTAATATAGTGAGTGCCTCTGAGCAGGAAAGGAATAAGAAATATACTAGGCAGCAGTAATAACAAGGAAAGTCATTCCACTTTAGGGGCCCATTGATTCCTATCTTCAGTATATATCCTTCAACTATTCTTAAACTATTTAGCTCCTCACCTTCACTCAAAAGCCATACACACACACAAACACACACACACACACACACACACGTATGTTTGTGCCATGGCTCTCTCTTTGGGAGCCCCAGGCCACTGGGAATTGGTATTTTTTTGCTTATCCAGGTCTTCCCCCCCCACCCCCAACATAAAAGAGCAAGAACATACAAAAGGCATTAAATAGACAATTAAATGACAAGGAATTAAATACAACTATCTTAAAGATTTATTAATGAAAAATACTTTACAAAAACAGTATGTTTGGCCCTAAAATAGTTTCGCTGACTCTGAGGGTTTACAACAGTGACTGAGCAAGTGGCAGTAATGGCTCTGCTGCTGAGGACAGGAAGGTGTGTTAGTGTGCCTGACTCCATCTGTTCAGAAGGACAAATGTTATGTTGGCAGCTCTGCATTCTAGGCCAAAGGTTTGGGGGCACAAGGAAGGCTCACAGTCCATAATACCTGGGCAAGTAGGCTGCCCTGAATGATATGGTCAGGACCATGACCACACAGCTACATGCTCCTCCAAGGATGGGGTACTGGGGAAGACGGAAGGTCAGGTAATAAGGATATGTTGGTAAAACAAAGAACAGAAGTTGGCAGTATTGTAGGGAACAGAGGATGAAGGCTCAGGTGCAGGTGGGGGCATAAAGGATCCAGGAATAAAATGGTGACCCTAAGATCCTAAAGAATGACTAGTGTCCAGGGTAATATGGATTCATCTTTAAAGTGGCTCAAATAAAGCCCTAAACAGCAGTTGCTTCCTTTTGCCAGTTGAATGGAAATTGGAATTTCAAATATTCCTCTCAAGGAGCCAGGTCTTGTTAGGGGTTCCAGGTACCCCTAGAAGAAACTGCCGACTCTATGTTGAGATGAGACTAGCACAACCCTGGCACGGATGCAGGGTGCTAACTCCTCCACAGTATAGTTTAATGGAGAAAGCCGTGGCTCCGGGAAAGGAAAGGGGTGACCCTTACCACCTATTGTGCTGCAGGGCTCTTGCCCTTATCTGCTCTCTTCCAGGAGCATCTGCTAGAACAAACAAAAACTCCTCTCCCCCTGTCCTCCTATGCCCAGATTGTGGGACATATCTGGTTTGCCTCCAGTCATCATCTGGGGGCATATCTACTCTTCGAGGACCAGAGCCTCGAGACCCAGGAACAGGACCCAAATTCCAAGCTGACCTCAGAGGTACATGAAGACTGCTTGATGGTGGAGACACAGGGTAAACAATGGGAGGGTGGGAGGAAGAATGGAAAAGATCACCCCAGGACTGAGCATGAGGAACCTGAAGGCCCTGGCGCCTTTCTGGTAGTGTGGCAGTGTGTGTCGGCTGAGGCTTGCATCCTGGAATACTCAGGAATCTGGCTCCAGTATGCTGGCTGGTCTCTGACCATGGCCCCCAAGAGGCATCTGTTCTGGAATGATGGGGGAGACTCTGGTAGTTCAGAGTTCTTCCTGTGTACTTGATCCCCTGGCAAGTTTCACTCCTGTCACACATAGCCAGAAACTGCTGGACACTCCTCGAAGTTCCTGGGAAGAGAAAAAGAAACCCAAAGATTAAGCATCTTCAGTAAACCATTCTCCTTCCCAAAAGACCATTCCTGACTGTTCCTCTCAACTCCCCATAGCCATAAGAGCATACACATAAGGGAAAGAAGCAGCCTAGCTTTGCTTTTAATTTCATTTTTAGAAATTCTTAATATACATCAAAATCAAGTCTCTTACCTCCAACCTGGGCAAATGTTGCCATACTTCACTCTACTATAATTCTTCCTCCACACCCTCCCCACAAATGGCTCCCCAATATTACAAATATATATTCTCACTGTAACAACTCTACTCCTAGAGCCACCACTCCAAAACATTACTCTGCTTTTCTTAATATGGTACTTTCACTCCAGTTAATCTGTTTCTGCTTACATTCTTGCTCAGTCCCTGAGATCTCTGTTTTTGTTCACACTACTCCTACCACATACACAGTATGGAATGCCTTTTCTATACATTAATTCCCCTTTACTTAAAATAAACAAAATACATAATTTTAAGAAGTCACTTCTATTTTTTTTTAAGTAGGCTCCACGCCCAGCATGGAGCCCACTACAGGGCTTGAACTCATAACCCCGAGATCAAGACCTGAGCCGAAATCAAGAGTTGGATGCCCAACTGCCTGAGCCACCCAGGCACCCCGCAAAATAAAAAAAATCACTTCTTAAAAATTCTTTCCATTCTTTATTTTATAACCCATCAACATCTGCAGTATACTCTTGTATGTATGTATATTCTGATTATTGCAGCTCTGAGCTCTTTAAGAACAGAGAGCTGCCTTCTTTCTCCCCTATGTTCACTATAGCATTTAGTGCAGAATAGGCTGCCCCTAACAACTGGAACGGATGCCCCTAACAGCTGCCAAAGGGGATGGTTACCTGGCTGCTCCACTGAGTAATAGGAAGTTCATCTACCCAGAAGGACTGCTTATCTAAACCTCCCTAAAATGTGGACACATATCAATAATACTATTCTCACCTTCTGTTCTAGAACCACAACCACACCCTGCCCTAGGGCAATTATATCTGTAAGCCAAGGTTTCTCAATCTCAACACTACTGATACTTTGAGCTGATACTACTTTTTTGGGGGGGGGGGTGGAGGGAGGATCATGGAGGTAAACTGCCCTGTGCATTGTAGGATGTTTAGCAGCATCCCTGACTTCCACTCACTAGATGCCAGTAGTACCTTCCCTTTCCCATTGAGAATCCCTGCTCTAAGTAGACTCAGCCTCTTCATGAGGAAGAAAAGTAGCAAATCCTATGGAGGGTGAAAGAAAGCCAGAAGGATGCTATCCACCTTCCCCAAGATCGTCTGGGTTTGTATACCGGCACAGGTAGTCCATACACAGGGT